AAACCAAATCTAGAGCATTTTCTTTTCAGGATGTAAATGTATTTCACATCCTCAAAGTCATATTAAATATGTTAGAACTGGTTGTTATTCCATATGAGTTAATGAAGCCACATGTGGCTGGGGATAGAGACAGGAATCATCTGAAAAGCTTGAAATAACTGGTGTTGAAATTATGATGCCATGAAACCCAAGACACTGCAAGTGGATGCATCAAAAGAGAGAATAAGGGCAATATCAATGCAATATTGATGTGATTGATGCGTCACAGTTTCTAATAGAAATTAAATCACATCAAAACCAACCACATTCAAGTACAAAAGGAAACCCTGGTGGCACTTTTCAGATGAGGCATTTTATCATTATGGTGAATAGAAAAGAAGTTGAAGTGCTATGGAACTGGATCAAAACCTTGGAGATGGTACTGATGACTCCTGATACAAATAAGCCCAGTAGGATAAAACATTTATTATTTCAGTTATGGGACTGCATTTAAGAAACTGCAGGGGGAAATGATTGTTTTTTTCTTTTCTTTTAAACACAGAAATTGTATAAAACATCTTGGGAACAGACAAGGGCATCTGGCTACGATTTTAGGATTGACGCGATCCCATTCCAGACAGCAAAGGCTTCAAGAGAGATTGCTAGTGATGTAAGAATTGTTCCGTTTCAAACACTTTCCAACCCTCTTCCCATGCCACACCCACCCTGTAAAAATTGGTGAATTCTGACGTAAGTGAACCTTGTTCTGGTTTGGGAAAATTGGTGACCCAGTGAAACCAAATACCTGTTAAGTGGAAAGATTTCCAACTAAAGGTTCCCATTAATAATGTCCAATACTAGGATGCTCTGTTTCACTTCAAAGAGTTATTCTTGGGAAGGAGGCATATTATAATGTAGTTAAATAAAATAGGTGGTAGGCTATGAATAGTTAAAGCATAGTCTAGAATAAAACGGGTCATCTTTGAACGCAGAAGACCACAGTTGGCCAGAAAGCTGAAGATGGAGGAGCTTCATTGTTTGAGCTGTGTATTAAGTGCACCCAGGAGTGTAACAATAAGAGAACTTCTGATTGCTTTTGAGAGATGAATATTTTGGACGCCCTAAGTCTTTCCATTCTTTTAAAAAATAGCACAAAGGCATTCTTCTAACGTGCCTTGTTGGATTATGAGATGTAGTTTGATATCAAACAAACCCTTGGCCTTTGTGCACTACAGGAAGCGTTATTGATAGCTAGGGGAGGGTAAGTTATTTCATAACAGAATTTGAAGGTAATTTGCATGTGAAAATGAGATTTTCCTCTGTACTTCCTGCAGTACAAATACAGAGAAGCCTTCCTGAGAGACAGAGGCCAGCAGATTGGATTCCTCAGTGCAAATGATGATCCCAAAATCAGGCATGTCCTCAGAGTGGGGAAACTCCAGAGTGACAACCAATACAGGAGTGGGTATGCCCAAAACAAGGCACAGTTCCAGAGTCACCTCAACCAGCCAGGATTCCTCCATGCTAAGAGAAGTCAGCAGCTTGCAAGCAATGTTAACTACAGGCAGCCTTTGCACCGATACACTTGTGATCCTGAGCAACTCAATGTGAAGCATGCAAAGCAGGCCTACAAGCTGCAGAGTGATGTAAGTGTGGCTGAGTGACATTGTCCTTCCAAGTGCTGGGAGCTTTCTGTGGCAATGGCTTTGCAGACCCTAACTATCAACAAAATCATGTTCTTGAAAGAACTACAATCTGTTTGCTGAAAATTAACAATTTATTATTGACCGCGATGCTCTTTATTTACCCTCTCTTGAATATCCAGGGCATGTGGTTTGGTTAGAGCCAAACAAACTATGGTATGTGTTTCATTCTCCCAGGTAAAATACAAATCTGACTTGAACTGGCTCAAAGGCATGGGCTGGACTCCTCCAGGTTCTTACAAAGTCGAAATGGCAAGAAGAGCTGCTGAGCTGGCGTACATTCGGGAAAGGGGATTGCAAGGTGCTTCTGCTCAGTATGGACCTGGAGTTGTAAGTAGAGTAAACCATTCTTCTCACAAATCCCAGCAACGCTGTTCTCTAGAAGGCAGGCAGGCAGGCACACATCCTGTTTAATAGTTTTGAATGCTCCCAGACTACAGTTCTCCCTATTAATTGAACAGAATATGTATACTTCCCTCATGAAGCTTTGCGGCTTTGTGCACATCTTAATTTGAAGGAACCTCTCAAGAGAATTCAACACTGTCATGGCTGAGGAATTCCTATGGGGAACTAGGAAATGCCACAGGATAGGATTTACTTGTACTATGAGATGTGTTTCCCTTAATTTATGGATGTTGTCAGATTTCAAAGCATCATGGTATCTCCATGGAGAGCAGAAGTGGAGGTGGAAGGCACTCCCTTCTCTTATCCTACTTTCAGCAAGACACCATGTGTTGCCATGTAATTAGGTGTTGCCATGTAATTTCCACCAGCAACTGTATTGACAGGCTCAGTGTAGACTCCTAACAGCATAACGTGTGCTGTGGGAGGCTCCCCAGTACTGTAGGAGGCTTTTTGCAAAGGGGGAATGCTCCAGCCTCCCCCATCTCTGTTCATCTTAAGATGTAGGAAATTACAAGCTGGGATGTTCCAGGTTTTCCTTCTCCCTACCTCTGCAGGGATGACCCCCAATCTGCAGTGTCCCAGCCCAAGAGAGCAAAAGTCCATACAGGAACCTTGTAGCCCCCATAGTTAGGATACATTAAGTTACGACAAAAGAGAAGCTCTGCACATTAAATACTTGTTTATTTAAGTTTTAACTTTGGCAACAAGTCAAACAATAAATCAGCCCAAGAGAAACAGGACATATCCATGATTTACATTCCTGTCTGAAAAGTTACTCAAGAAATAAATTATAACTGTGGTTGAAGAATGCAGGCAGTGGAGACTGCAGGCAATATCTTCTTAAACCCTAGGTATGATAGTGATCTGATGCTCCCAGGGAAATCTACAGGTGTGCAATCCACCTGGAACTCAGGTGTTTGCTGGTTTGCTCTTCATTTAGGGCTCAAATTAGAAATTAGGACTTGAGCACATTCAGTCCTTTGATATGTGTAGTATCCAACTTACATGAACAACACAATTTTTTACACTTTTCCACTGCAGAGATTTGCTCAGTGCACAGCTGGGATTTAGATTTTGCCCATTTCTTTGCCAGTTGTGGTAATTTTGAATGTGTAAATGTTTTTATAGAATAATAGTCAAAACCTTCTCCTGTCCACTGGCTGTCCTCACAGTTTACTTGGGATTGATTTTACAGGACCATTTAGAGACGGAAGGATCTCAGCAAGTCACAGTCAACCCTGATGCTTCAGAAATTCTGCAAGTCAAGAGAAGGAAAATGCAGCTGTATCAGAAGTAAACAGAAAAATGATATAACACAAATAGATTTTCATCTTGTCCTGCAAATCCCGTAGCTTTTCCAGGTTTCTGGGAAGTATAATAGATGGCATCTAAGAACTTTTTGTTTTAAAAAGCAACTTAAACATTGCAATTTATAACTGATAATTTTATTTTTGTGTGGGTACTTTGTGATTTATAACTGTATGCATTACACAATCTGATTTTTATTTAAAGCTGTAAATGAAATTAGTACTAGGTGACTGGCAGGCTCAGCTTTGTACTACAGATGAATGAACTTGATTGGTAGAATATAAAATAATTTGTACTAAATAAATCAGGTGAATCTTATTGCATACTTGTAATCTCTGGAGATTTTTATGTTCCTGGATTATTGTCACTATTGACCTAAGAGAATACAAAAGTGTGATTCAGGGGAATTAGCAGATGAACAACACAAAGGCCAATGGAAGCAAAGTTATCACTGACTAACCAAGGCCATGTCTTTTAGCAAACACCAGGGAATTTGTTCTTGATTAACAGGATGTATTCAGATCACATTTAGTTCTTCAGTCTTTTTCAACTCTTCCAAAGCAAAAAATCAGAATTAGTTAGTTAGAAATTTTTGCAATAGGCATAGGTATGATAGATTAGATAGAACTTAAAGAAGGTTGTAAACTCTGGAATTCAGATGAAAGACACGATACTATTTTAACATATTGACTCTTCACAAATGTCTATTCTTTATATCCTGGTTTAATACCAGTCCTCTCATTTTCAAATTTCTGTATAGGGTTGTAGAATCATTGGACAAAAAATACACATTCAACTTGCAAAACTTGTGAAAACTCAATAATTATCCAATAGCTTTAGACACATTTTTTAAATGGGATTTGATACCCTTTTGGTCTCAGTGGTATGAATTGAAGTTAGGGACGTATGTACCATTCTAGATCTGGAGCATAGTAAGTAATTATCCTCTTATCAGGGATAAAGTAGATCATTCTAACAGTGATTTCTTTTTCTATCTGGAATGCATCACTGATGGAATTTACGGTTATTTGCTCTACAGAAGTACTTTTAAAAACAACTCTCCTGCCTGATCCTCCCTTCTGAGATGATTCCATTGGCTCCAGGCTTGCAAACCACAGGCACATGATGAATTTTATGTATGTGAAAGGGGGCAGTGGCTTTAGGAGCACACACCAATTGCTTTGAGGTGTCAGGGTCCAGTGAGTGCAGAAAAAACACACCTTAGCCAGGGGCAAGAGGGGAAGAGGGAAAGGGTGGCAGCAGCTGAGCCTGCAGAATTTTCAGGGCTTGAAAAGCAAAGCTGGAAACATTGATAACTGCAGCTCTGATTGATTTGGGGAAGAACTGGAGTTGCTTTACTTTCTGATCTGTTTTGCCTACAAAATGTGGGCTTATTTCAAAGTCCCCTATCCCCAAAGACAGGAAAACTGTCACTGACATTCCAGCAAACGCTCCAAGTCTATTTTCAAGGTGGTGATGAAGGCTGCCCCATGTAGGGCATGAGAAAATATCAGTAATGTTTTTGGTCAAAGAGGAGGAATTTAGGGAAATAATAAAAACAAGTAAATATCTCAAGCTTACCATTTCTTACTCCAAGGATGTCTCCTAATAAAGTGATCTTGACTCAGACCGAATTTTGGATTTAATCCAAGTGAGAAATGTTGTCACCTGGGTATAAACTCCTGGCTTGTTTTTTAACCCGCACCCATCACCCCAGCTCACAAGGCCATAGACATAGTAGGAGCCATTTTCTACACAAGTTAGAGGGCCTCCAGAGTCTCCCTGAGGAGAAAAAACAAACATGTTCAAAACATGAAGCAAAACGTTAACCAAAATAAGAAAGCTCTTCTCCCATCATAAGACTTTGAAGTAGCAATGATGTTTTCCTGTCAGATGTACCATCAGATGCTGCTCAGTCCCTGAGTAGGCTTGCAGTTCTGGAACCAGGTCAAATGATACCAAACTTTTTGGATGTAAGTTTTTGTTTGTTCAAGTCTGTGACATATATCTGACAAGGTCATATGCAATTTCCCAGGCATGAAAGTACCAGGCATTCAGTGCCTGAGCTCAGAAAGATAAAGATGTGATCCTTGGCATAAATGAAAACACTTGATCTCTCCTACACCCTTAAAATAACTTCAGTCTGAGCTGCTTGGTCTCTTTTTTTTTGTTTGTTTGTTTTATTTTGTTTTGTTTTATGGTGATTTCTATTGTGAAATATGCTTGCAGCAGTAGTTTGCACCTCAGGAGGCATTGTTCAAACTCTTCCCTGTCTTACGACAGTGTAAATATAAATTTGCTTCACATTTGCACTAGCTGTAATGAAAAGAAATATCAGTCTTGACTTTCCCTGCAGGTCTGAGCTCTGACAGTGAAAATCAGATCGGAATTGGTGCTCATGGCAGAGGCCATAATAAAATTGAGAGAAAAAAAGGGAAAGTTTTCAGGTTATTATGACAAACTGCCTCAGAAGCCAAACTTTCCAGTCTAGTCTCTAGCTTCCATAGATCTACCTGTGGCTGACAGTGACAACATTAGCTCTAGGGATATACATCTCAAACTGTACTGAAGAAAGACGATGGCTGTTGAAATACTCTGATGGGAGAAACAGATACATGTGCAGTACCCTGCCAAAGCGATTGCTCTGCACAGCCTGACTATTTGCACAAAAAATTAGTGTTCAAATACAGAAAAAGCAACAGACCTGACAAGAATCAGCTCGGGGTCTCTGATGATTTCCTGCACAAAACATGCTTTCATCCAGTTTGTGATCATATGCTCTGGGTGCGTTGCATTTCCTCTGCGAAATCAGCTTGACACTGGCATCTAACAGCTGATGGGATACTTCATCTATGGGATGTGCACCAAAAAAATTGAGTCATCTTCCTCCCAATCCTATTACGTGTTGTCTTTGTTCAAAATACAAGCTTGCTTGCCATTTGGGTGGGAAGGGGGAAGAGCATGGGGGGAAGCATGGGCTAGCCTGGGAAGAAAAGAAGTATCTGTATGAAATTGTAAGGGTTAGAGTTGGAGCCTGGAAGCTTCACTTAGGACAACGAGTTGTTGCCTGAATAAAAGCAAAGTCAGGTATTCAGAATTTGGCTCTGATCAGCTCTACCCGTGTAATTCTGCTTTCCAAAGGTGCTGGTTGTCTGCAGGTCCCAGTGGGACTTCGAGCTGCTCAGCACTTTTCAGACTGGTGCCATTAGATATTTTAACATGCAAGCTAATGAAACAGATGAAAACTGAAAATCATACAATATTTAAGGGCAATGATTAATTATGGTGAATCTAAAGACATAACTTGACATCTAAAGGCAATAGCCAGGGTTTCAAAGCACTACATCTGTAGATAATTAAAGGTGGTTTATAAGTTTGGTTCTGCTTGAGTTTCAGGAAATATTCCATTTCTGCAGTGATTTCCTGAAATGCTAATAATAGCTCTGCTCAAAGAAGGAGCCATCTAGTTTGAACATGTACAGGGTACTTGATATTCTTTGTTGGGGAAAAAAAAAATTCCCCGTACCTTTTCTAAGAGAGACTTTTTATTTGGAACTTTTAAAAAAATGTCCATTAAATTCTGTTGGTGCATTCTGATCAAATGAACACTCTTGTCTCTTGTGGACTTCAATGAGAGTTACATCAGAAGGGAGAATTTGGTCCTATGTATCGTATGAGGCTGTATCAGTCACAAAGCACTAGGACACCCACTGCAGCCTCAGTGACACATTTTCCTTCTGCTGCTTTACAGCAACACATCAATCAGAACATGAGAAAATGCATTTTTCAGAAAATTGCCATTATCTCTTTTTAAGCATAGTAATTTCTCCCCTTAGGATTTACTGTGGTCAGAAAAGGTTTTGGATAGAGTTGGTTGAACTTGAAAAGCTTTGGATTTTTTTTTTTTTTTTTATTATTTTTCTGTGCATCTGAAGATCCAGATGCTGCTTCTGAAAACCTTGATCTGACCCAATGGGCTGGAAGACCATGTGAAAGTTTCTGTCATTCTTGGTCCTGTCTTGAAACTTACAAACTGTACAATAGCCTCTCTCTTGATACCTTCTTGCTTCTGTTGCTAGCTTCAGATGAAACCATGACATGGTGTGTCAGATGGCAAGTGAAAAAAAGTGTGTTGGGGATTTTTTCAGAACTCTGAAAGCTTTGGTTGGTCTAGCAACTGGAGATTTTTGCTAATGAGTAATTTCCATGGTAGAGTCTAGGCATCCTTAGTTTTAAATTCCATGTCTTGGTTTCACTAAGTGTCTAGGTCCACATTTGGGTCTGGCAATTGCTACGGAAAGAACCAGCCCACCTTGCCACAGAAATACCCACCAAAATCCAGCTAGCCCATAAATACCTGTCTCTGTCACGCCCCATCCCGAAATGAAGCAGTCAGTCCCAACAGGAAAGAAGTCGGTAGGCAGACATGCTGTTTTCACATACTTTGTTTCCACTGCACAGTGACCATCAACTGGCTTCAGTTTAAGTAGTGCTAGAGAGAAGACAAACAACAAGAAGAATTTGTAGCTAATTTTAATTGCTAGCCATCACTTTCAGCCTGTGACCCATCCCTCTGCAAACCTGCACAGACCTGACTTGCTATTTGCATGACATGCTGGTTCTGCCCCTAATTTTTTACCTTCCCCCACCAGTGGCTTCTGCCTGCCCATCACAATTCACATCACAAAGATTCAAATAGGTCTAAACCACAGTTTGGCCTAATTATTTCCAGCATCTATTCTCAATGGGAATTTTACATTGACTTTAGTTGGAAAGAGGTGCTTCAAACCACTCAGTTCAGAGGTGAGCCACATGAATGTTCAATAAAATGGATTTACCAATATCATTGTGTGGGACACCATCCTTCTCTCTGTATTGGTAATGTACGATGATCTTCTCCACATCAAATATTTGCTCTTGATGCTCTCTCTTCTTGAGGTCTTGCTTTCCAAGGGCTACTTGGAGATCTTCTGCTTGTCCTCTGCAAAGAAAAAAAGAAAAAGAAAAAAAAAAGTAAATGACATGCAGACACTGTCTATCAGTGGTAACAAAAACCTGCATCTTTAGTATCTGCAAGTCAAGAAATTGCTTTCTCTTGTAGATCATGGCCAGAAAATTTCCTAAGGTTGTTATAGGAGAGCTTAGTCAGGGAAGTGGTGGTGTTGGACAATACATGTGCCCATAACTTGTTGCGGTCATTAAAGAAAATGGTTTAAAGCTGCATAAATACTCCTTTCTTTGCATTTTGGCAGTGTAGCAGTGGGCACACAGTCTGTTACTGTGGCTGTGGTGATGAGTGGAGCCATGGGAGTAGAATTGCTTGCCATTGTCTGGGCATGCTTAAAATCCTCTGTGCTGGAATGATCTCCAGTGTGTAATTTACTAATTTCCAAGCATAGTGGTTTCCAACCTGTTCAACAAAAATGTTGAAGGAAATGTCATATACTAAGCTAGCTGGCACATAAACAATTGAAAGCAAAAAACGTATTTTGGCTGTTCTGGAGATCTTAATTTTGATGTAACATGTGATGTTTCTTATAGTATCCCAATGTCCCCTGAGGTTATCATGGCGTCTTTCTTTCATACATTGCAAAACTTTGTTACATTTCTCCTCTTTTCCTCTCACATGGCTATTTTAACTCATTTTAGGTGAGTGCGAAGTAAGTTTAATTTGCTATTCCAGCAAGCACAAATTTTAAGTATATTTGTGTTTTCATGTATGAGTTCATTTTTTCACCTATATGTTCTCCTTTCAGTTTCATTCCCATCAATCATGTGGATTGCAAATAATTTGGATTCCAAACTGTCTTTAAAAATTATCCTGATTTTTATACCTTTATCTACCCCAGGCATAGGACATGCACCTACTCAATGCAGTGCCCAGCAGTAAGAACCCAGCAGGCTTTAATTAGCACTCCACCACAGAAATGTCTGCTCCTTTTTGAAGTCTTTCTCTGCAGTGATGCCATCCAGGGATGTTTGCCAGCTGTAGTCTTCGCTCCACCATAGATCCTCTTGAGTGGCCTTTGAATTTCTGGTTGTCCACATGTTTGGAATATTTCATTTGATCCAGGTGAGTCTGTTCGGCTGTCTGTTGGCAATGGGATGTTTTCAGCTGCATTGGAAGAGACAGCAGATGTACAATGCAGAGATAATATCAGACTACAAGAGTTAAGTAACAGGGGGTCATCTGCTGCTCTGGACCACCTACACGTTACCAAACAGCTCACTAATTCTTTACCTGTTCCTGAGCAGGGTGAAACATCACAGAAGTCCCATTCCACTTTGTGATGTCTTCTGATGTAGCACCAGGGCTTCTCATCCTCATCAGGATTCCTGAAGGGAACAGTTGAGAGTGTCAGAGCCAATGGGGACAGGAAAATCTCCATGAAACCAGTGAAGGAGCTGAGAATGCTTAGGGGAGAAGCCTCATGCTGCCTTATGAGAGCCTCTTTCGTAAGATTTGACAAAGAAGGTGCCTGAGATAAGGGAGTGGGGCTTCTGCCATTTTACTATCCCCACACCTATCTTAGCCCTAAGAAAAATGAGGGGCTGATTCCAGGGAAATGAGGACTGCTTCTGGAAGCCTCACATCAGTTCAGTGACTTAGGGAATAGACCTCTAACATCCTGGTATTTTATAGGCATTCAGCGTCTAGAAAGACGCGAGATCTTGACACCATCAGTTTGCCAAATTCATGAGCAGTTTATCCTCAGTGCTCTCTTTGATGTAGACCTCTACAGTTGCTTCTTCAAAGTATTACCTGCAGAAGTTATGTTCACCAATGCCGTAGGAGTCTGCATCCTCCATAAAGGCATTAATCGGGTAGTCCAAGAGTAGCTGGGAATTCCAGTGCAGGCAGGTCTTGCCATTCACTGCTTGATTCACATTTCCTCTGTAGTTAGAGGAGGCCTCTTCATAACAATCATCCAGTCCTGTAGGAAGACAATGCTGATATGAAAATGGTTTTGTGTTGCTCCTTGCCCAAAGTGGTTCCTCTTCCTTCCCTTCCTTGCCCTACGTTCATTTTATGGAGGATCAGAAGGACCTACTGGGTCTTGCAGTGATATCCCTTATCCTACATAGGCCAGAAATAACAGTAGTGTCCCAACATCTGTCCAGTTTGAAGCCTGATTGACTTCAAATGCTTGAAACCTCTTTGCATTGTAAAGATCTAGAAGCTAAGAAGCGTCTTAATGCCAAAGCAGAATCTCTCCGTCAGTGGCCTGCACAAGAAATGGTACTGGCAGGATTAGACAGAAGTGGTCACAGAGCTGCTATCATGCTAGGGCAATGGATGTGCCAAAAGGAAGTCTGTGGAGTTGTGAACCTAACCTGTATGAGAGGTGGAGGAAAAGCCACCTACAATGTGGAGCAGGTAGTGGTACATGGAGATTGAAGTGCAATCAACTTTTAAAAGAGAAAGAAAAAATTTCTTCTCCTTGGAAATGTGTGGGGTGTGGTGCCCATGGTGGTGCTGCAGAGGCAGAAGGCTCTCCACACAGGCTGGGGTAATCCCATGTCCTTGGCCATCCATCCATGTCTCAGTGGCTGTCCTTCCAGCCTGAGGAGTCACAGGCTGAATCACATGGATCTTCACTATGTCAGCTTTTGGGTGTTTAAGGAAAGCCTGACATTCCTTCTCCATGGGACACCTGCAACCTCTGGAAAAAGTGTGCTCGCTCATTATGTAGTGGTGGGACCTTGCTGAAGCACACTTGGAAAACATCAGTACGGGAACTGTTTGGAGCCCCTGTGCTGATGGGGGCTGCAGAAGTCAGCCTCTTCCTCCAACACTCTCCCAAAGGAGACTGATGCCCTGGTGCAGTCAGGTATTTGGTGCAACAATGGCATCAATCAGTTTGACTGCAGAGTGAAGCCAGCCCTTGGTTCTCTGAAGGCTTCACCCATACCGAGCTGTGACGTACCGATCTCACAGAATCTCCCTTTGAAAGGTTCGGGGCACTTGCAGGTGAATTTCGATCTGATTCTGTGCCGTATGCAGATACCTCCATTCTTGCACGGGTTTGGTCTACATGGTGAAGATGCTGTCAACGTGGAAAACACAGAACACCCTTGTCACTCTGCTGAACACTATACAGCCACTCGCATGCCCGATGGAAACTGGGGAGAGCTGCCACTTAGCCTGTTGGCTTCAAGTTCTTATGAACTCTTGAAAAACACTTATCACCAGGGGTCTTACCAGTGACTGAACCACCACCCTGTAAATCAAGCATGACTCACCACTGACCAGCCCCATGGATGGGTGACTTGGGCTGGATGACCAGGGCAGGACAATCCTCTGCAGCGGGCTGCCTGTGATGTCCCACTGCTGACTATTTGTGGTGAGGTGACCTTGCCATGCTGTCCCCACCACAAATCATTCAGCACCCCACTAAGTGGGACCCTTTTCAGATGGAGCTGTGCTCACCTTGTTTGCAGTTGGGCATCTTATAGGGGTGATTGCAGCTGCACTGAAAATAAGGAGGGGTTAATGTAATCAGGCAGTCTCCCTCGTGGCACCTCCTCTTTGAACACATGTCCTTCACTGTGGAAAACAGAGACATGAGGTACTTCATCAGTGTTTGTGTGTACACAAGAGCTGTGCCCTCACAGGGATCATGTGAAGACATGCTTTCTCCTGACACTCCAAGGAGGCTTTCATCTGTCTAGTGTGGACTTTCCATTTCCTTTCTTGTTCACATTATCTATGGAAAAAATCTGCAGGACCAATGAGTAGCTCACCTCTGCCCACCTGGCAGGGGATATAGGAACGCTTTCTGCACACCTGAAGTCTATTTTACTGGATACCACTTTAGACAGACTTTGGTCTGGGCAAGGAGCTGTGAGAGCTGAGAACATGACTGTGGTGGGCTGTCAAAACCCTCACCCCAGCAGACAGTGGGTTTATAAAGCTCTGTGTTTGCTCCCATTGAGAGAGCTGTAACACTTACATAGGTTGTCAAAATAAGGGGTGTAAATTAATAGAAGAGCAATTACCTTTCTCACAGGTAGTCCCAGCATATGGCTTGGGGCAGAGACAGCTGAAGCTGCTTCCTCTGTTTTCACACCTACCGTTGTTCTTGCAGGGGTTGGAGGAGCACGGATCTGCTAGGGTAAGGATGGAGATCTTTTAGTTTAAATTTCAGCTTCTCCACCTCCATCACCTGCTTTTTCTTCTCACATTTTCTGACTGCAGAAGGCTGTCTTCCTGGCCACAGCACCCCGTGTCACAGGCACTGCATTTGCACATCAGCTCATCAGCTGCAGGAGCAGCTGTGAATTTTTGCAGAGCCTATGGCAAGCTGTAACAGCTCTCAGCTTTGAGTCTGCACGTCCTCAGCTCCCTTTGCCATATCGACCATGGAGCTGTAACGGGGCATGTCCCTTCCTTGCTCAGGGCCAGATTTGTCTCTATGGCAGTGGCAGCAGCAGGTGCTTTAAGAGGCAGAGCTGGCCCTGGGCACCTGCCTTCATGCACTTCGTGTGGAGAGATCTGGATTTGACATTGCCTTGGTTGTAACATGGCACTAAATCTCCCCTGGAAAAGCCATCCACCACCACTATACTGTATAATACCCCTGTGGCTATGGCTGCAAGGGAGCAGGTCACTTCACTGCTCCTTACACCATGCTCAATCTCTCTACTCCAGACTGCCAGGAGCAATTGGTGTTGGGGACAGCCACATAGCAGCTCTGCTTTCTTTGTACCAGGGAATAACCCAGGGGATATTACAGGCAACTTCTTTGTCTCTTCTTTTGTGTTCCCTGAGCAATCTCAAGGATCTTTTCCTGCTTTCCAGAAGTTTGACAAAACAGGAAGAAGAGAGAAGAAGGAAGAAGAGAGAAGAAGAGAGAAGAGAGAAGAAGAGAGAAGAGAGAAGAAGAGAGAAGAGAGAAGAGACTGTAACTGAAAAAAAAAGGGAAACCTGCTCTACATTTGGTTCCCAGCATAAATACAGAACATATATCCCATGAAAACAGCAATTACATCTTACAGTGTCTATAGACAAATAAGCCTGTGCTTTTTTGTAGTAGCAATCAGAAATGTTCTGCATGATCAGAATCCATCCTGTGGAACCTGGAGATAAAAAACAGGCTCCTTACAAGGGAAATGCAAAGGAGAACACTGCAAACAATCCTCCTAACTCATCCCTTTGATGCAGGCATTTCGAGAGCAGGCTGGCAGCTGAGGCGTGCCACACTGTGCAAGCACAGAGATGGGGTTGGGATTTTACCCCTTCCTCACCTCCCTGCCCACCCCTCAGAGGTACCTTTTCCAGTATCGCTATAGCCAAAATATGCTTCAAACCAATCAAGATCCTCCGAGGACTGCTGCTGGAGAAGGGGGTCCTCCTCCGGTTGTGTGTACTCATCGTAGTACTCATAGGCATCTGCCTCATCTGCAGGGAGAGGTGAGAAGAGGATGGAAGAACAGAGGAATTAAAACTACTAGAAAGAGAGAAGGTATGAAAGAAGCCTTTCCATACTTAAAGGGGGACTATAAGAAAGATGGGGACAGACTTTTTAGCAGGGCCTGTAGCGATAGGACAAGGGGTAATGGTTTAAACTGAAAGAGAGTAGATTTAGACCAGATGTAAGGAAGAAATTTTTTACAATGAGGGAGGTGAAACCCTGGCACAGGTTGCCCAGAGAGGTGGTAGATGCCCCATCCCTGGAAGCATTCAGGGTCAGGCTGGACAGGGCTATGAGCAACCTGATCTAGTTGAAGAAGTCCCTGCTCACTGCAGAGGGGTTGGACTAGATGACCTTTAAAGGTGTCTTCCAACCCAAACCATTCTATGATTCTAAGTTTTTCCCTGGGATGGACAGTCCTTTTCTCCTTCAGCTCATTTGGTATGTTAGTAGGTCTAGAGCTTGCATCATCTTGAGGACTAAAGGTGCTGTTCAGCTCTTGCTCAGCATGGGCAGAGCTTACCCAGCACGGCCACCCCTGAGCTCCTCTGGCCCCAGCTCTGCCCTGGCTGCTGCTGCTCCTGGAGGGGTCCTGGCTGCTCAACCAGCTCCTGCAGCACCAGCCGGGACACCCCAGCAGCACGAGCTCCCTGCGCCGTACCACAGCCAAGGGAGATGCTGATGGCTGTTGTCAGCACAGTGAGAAGAGGAGATTTGGATTCCCACAAGAAAGGGTTTTCTTTGTCCAGCTGCTTTGATCATCAGCATCATCGCTGCTGCAGCACGAGGCAAGACCTTTGTTGGCATGTGAGTGCCTGTTGCATGTTGGGACACAGAAACCCATTTTGAGGAAAATTGGAGGGGAGCGAAGGCCCAAGGTACCTGCACACCTATAGAATCAGAATCATGGAATCATTGAGGTTGGAAAAGACCTCCAAGATCATCAAGTTCAACTGTCAACCAAACACTATCATGCCCAATAAACTGTTTCCTGACATGCCATGTCTACACGTTTTTTGAACGCCTCCAGGGATGGTGACTCCACTGCTTCCCTGGGCAGCCTGTTCCAATGCTTAACCTCTCTTTCAGTAAATAATTTTTTCCGATATATCCAATCTAAACCTACCCTGGTGCAACTTGAGGCCATTTCCTCTTGTCCTATCACTTGTCACTTGAGAGAAGTGACCAGTGCCCACCTCACTGCACCCTCCTTTCAGGTTGTTGTAGAGAGCAAGGAGGTCTCCCCTCAGCCTCATTTTCTCCAGACACAACAACCCCAGTTCCCTCAGCTGCTCCTCATAAGACTTGATCTCCAGACCCTTCATCAGCTTTGTTGCCTTTCTTTGGACACACTTCTATGTCGTTCCCCATCCACAAAACCCCTTTGGAGGAGCAAGGGCCTGGCACCTCAGACATCTATTGAAAGCCCATCCTTGCCTCAGTGGAACCTGTGGCCTCCCAGCAGCCATTGTCCTCCCACAGGCACAGTGCCAGCAGGACCCACAGCTTTACCAGCCCACGTCTGGGGGGCCGGTTGACTCAAGTGGGCTGGCAGCTCCTTGTACAGGTATGGCTGCTGCTGGTGGAAGCCGCGTCGGTGTTTCAAAGACAAGCTATGGTAATGAGCAAAGCTAAGCTACGTACAGAGACATTTTAAAGAGCTCTCCCCTAGGGCTGGACCGATGGCCCCCTGGATAATGCTCTGCCTTGAACTGATTATCGACTGCATTATCTTAGTTTTCTCTCCTCATTCATTCGCTTGCAGCCTTTATCTTTATTCTTTCTTTGCTTCTGAAAAAAAAAAAAATCCACTTTTGTACAGTGGATGTTTTATATTTCATATTAAAATAGAACCGTCTTTTTTTCTTCTTTTTTTTTCCTACATGCCAACTCTCCTTTCTCACTAAAAAAAAAAAAAGGGAAGAAAGTTTCACCTCATTTATTGCTATGTCAAGCCAAGACTCCTTTTCCTCAGCTCATTATTTCCACAGGAGCTGAGTCTCGACAGTGTGCAAGTGTTGCAGAAGTGTGTGCCTTGCTGAGGAACAGAAGAATCTCGCTGGAAGATAAGGACATTGTCTACAGCGAACAAAATTAAATTTAATGTGATATAGTTAAGAAAGGAAAACAAAAAGAGGGTTTTGCCTGAGATGCAGCCTGCAAGCTCACTTTGTCAGAGGGGAGATTTTGCAAGCGGACTTGAGTTTGAGGGAATTGTCTGAAGGAGTCTGATTTTGTTTCCTCGGTTTATTTTCAAAATCTTAGTGGGAAACGTTGGCTTTTATTCCACAGATGCTTTAAAGAAGTATTTTGAGGGATGGGGTAGCCCTTTTTATGGAAAAATATACCTCCTAAAAGTTATGAAGGATGAACAGGGGAGTTATGGCTGCCAAAAGCAGGCTGCAAACATGCCCAGTGTGCTTTACGGAGGCTGATGAAGACTCCCTTGAGTCAATAGAGGAAAAACGAATGCTCCAAATGAGCACGAATAGCTAAGACATTGTAGAAGCATCTACTCTGATTTTTAAACCAACTGCTCAGCGTTAGGAAATTACGGTACTGTCATTTAATTTTGTTACAATGACATTATTTCCTAGCAATGGATTAATCATTTATTAACAAGACTCAAATAAATTATTTGTTGACCCATTATGAACTATTTTAAGTGCACCTCTATGGTAAACCCCAGATGGACAATATGCAATTCACTTTTTGCAGTATATCTCTTTCTGACAGCTCTGCGAGGTGGAGGAGCAAAACCCCCCATTTGCACTGATGGAGATTTTGATCCCCAGGCTGTTTTTAGGACAGGCTAATGCACACCTGAGGCCAGGTTTGCACCTGGCAGGGTGTCTGGGTGGCCAGGGCTAAGGTTGAGTGGGCGACACCAAGTGAGTCCCTTATGGGCTGGCAATTGCCATTAAGTGAAACTTTATGACCAAGCCATGAAGTTAAGGGTGCACGTGGAAAGGGCTCAGAAAACATCAGCAAACCCTTTTGGGTACCCTGGTTCCCCATGTGAATAGTGGGAGTTGGGAAGTTGAGTTGCCTGGCCGTGAGACCAGCCAAGATGACGTGAGAGTGCAGCTGATCTGAGAAATCACCAGCATCCCTGCCTGCTCCATCACCATCCATCTTTATGAAACTGTGAAACAGAAATAGCTTCTATGGGTCATATGAATGATGCTTCCCATCTCCCAGCTACTCTGTGTCCTCCCCAGGTGCACGAAGCAGTGAAAAACAAAGAACAGAAAACCTTGACTTGGGTACATGGCATCAAACTAAAAGATGTCTTCTTATTTATCATTGCTTCGACACTTAAAAACTCTTTGGCTTCCACATCTCTTATTTAAGAGGTGCTCCCATTCCACTTTTTAAATTATTTATAACAAACCATAGGTTTAGTAAAGCAAAAACAACACTTTTATTATTTGAGTACATAATTAAGGCACAAAGTCTGATACACTGTTTGATTTAAACATATTACTAAATCAGAGTGTTCTTACTTTGTAAGTACTGGAAAACCTTAACATGCTTTAAAAAAGCAGTGATCTGACATTTGTCACTGAAATGTGACTATTACATGAAATTAAATTAGATATCCTGCATGCAAATTTTCAAAGAATAACTTTCCTCTGTGTAGTACAAAAAAAATCCCCCCATAATTGATAGGCAGAGATTGACTTTTAAAGCTTCAAATCAGCTTTGAGGTCTGGGTGATCTTTTAAACTGCTCGGGCTTTCATCTGCAGTTTTTCACATTGCCAAGAACTGTCAATCAAGCGATGGATTTCTGATCAATATCCCCTTGTTCATTAGCTTACACGGGCTCTCTGTTACAGAGAGAACAGCTATCCCAATGCCGGCATTCACACTGTTTTCAAAACCTTCGCTGGATCAAGTCATGACTAATGTTCCGAGTGGGAAAGTGATGCATTAGGATGCCATTGAGTGACCTGAATTGCGAGGTAACTTTGTTGGACTGCAGTTGTCAAGATGAGTGATGTGCAAAGTTAAAGCCTATTGCCATCACACATCAAGAGAACCAGAAAGTACCCAGCATTTATTCAAGCTCTCTGAACCTCTGGGGACTGACTGAAATCTGGCCTAATTTAGGCAGAATGAGTTTTCCTGCCACCTTTCTAAACACTTTTTGTCTCTAGCTCTGAGAATAATGTAATGTTATTTTCATGAGGCTGAAATCCTGCCTGTATTTTAAATAATGAGATGTCCCCATTTAATTCTGCAGAGATGAGACCTCACGGTATTTCCTCCCTTCCACACGGGCTGTGGCTGGGAGTATCTGTGGCTTCAGACAGAAATTGCGGAAGAAGTGAGAGCAGCTAACAACAAAGCCAGCAAGCCTTTCAAACAGTTTTGTGGCTGCTACTTAAAAGCAGTTTTACAGTGCCTGTTCTCGGAGGGATGAGTGCCTAGTGAAGGCGGATGATGACGGCTGAAGGAGTGGGGACCCACAGGAGGATAGGGAGTGGGCGATTGCAGGGACAGTGGAAGGACAGAGGCAAGGACCATAAAGCAAAAAGGAGAGAAGGAATTTAAAAATTGTGAAAGCTCCATCATTGAAAAGCAAACTGGCTGATTTGCAGGTTTATGTGTAAATCCTGAAGCCAGCTACGTGGCCCTGTGGCCAAATACTTGCAGAAGCTAAACACTGAGCTCTGATGCACAAGTGATTTGGGTGTTTGTTTTCCACACACAGCTTGTTAGAAGAGCAACATTGACTTGGGGCAAGAAGCAGTGCTGTATGAGCTACAAGGCTGCTGGTCTCGCAGGTTTGAGTCAGAAGCCAAAATGCTGTTGGAATGAACAGGAATGTGGCTGAAGAATGAGGGCATAGTAAGAGCCACATTCTTTTTCTGCAGGAGAGGGAGAAAAAATAATGGAATACTTCATTAGCTGTAAATTATAAACTCAGGTCTAAGAGACACTGAAATCAAGAAAAGGAGGTGCAGGGCTTACCTGCAAAAACACTAAACTTAGCAATAAAACCATAATCCTCTACATAGTCCAAGTGGTCTGCAAAAGGATGTAAAAATCCTCACACAGTATCTACAGATCCTCACACAACATTCATCACAGCTCTTCTCTTATCAACATCTTAATGCTACATAACCTTCAATGATTTTTACTTGCATGAGCTTGTAAGCACTTTTCAAACCTTCTTGCACTTTGGAGAATACCTTGTGGAAATAAGTTCCACAGTTAGTGGTATGCTGCAAGGGAAAGTTGTCCTTCATTTATTTGACCTTCAATCTGCATGCAGAGATAGACTCTTTGCTTATCTTTCTGGGAGATTTGCAGCCCAGCACCATGACTTCTCCCCCAGTCTGGTACCCATTGTGTCACCCATGGGTCCCTAAAGCTCTGTTGAGCACAAGAGGCCACAGAGTGGCAGAAAAGTCCTGTCTTGGAACAGAACTGTGAGTTGCAGGTGCAATCCAAGAATACTGTATGATCAGCTGCAACTTGGTACTGCTGCTGAGCTTCTGGTTTGGGCACCAGTGTGCCAGACACACTCCTGGCTGGGATCCGACACAGTGTTGTCTCCTGCACCGACACAGAACACGTGCGGAGATCTGAACCTGCTCACCATATTACTTGTCCAAAGTGAAACAGACTTCTTACTTGATCACAGGCCTTATTTTAAACTCAGCAAAGCTGTGTATGAAGTTAATAAAACTCAGCACTGGGCAGTAGCGAAGGCTCTTGATGGACCAGGTTACCAGCCTCAGTTTTGTATGCAGAAGTTAAAATGAAGAAATGGAAACCACTTACCCATCAGCGGGTCAGCCAGGAAGAAATGGGAAGCCTGCATGAGATATAAAAAGGCAGAGAGTCAGTTTCTGGAGGGGAAAAAAAAAAAAAAAACAACCTGTTTGGAGCTTGGTTTATGGCACAAAGAACATCCAGATAAGCTCATTATCCACTTTGGAGCTAACTGGACTGGATTTTAGGAGCTCTTTCAAAAGATTATCAGAATGTCTTAAAAAGTTCACTGCTCCCAAAAACCTGTGCAGGAGCTCCGGTTGTTCTGAGCATCCAGGCCAAGCACACAGGGTTGGTGTGCTTTGGGAAAAACCTGTTCTGACCGAGTTCAGTTGCCTTTTTGCTTATTAAGCCACTGTGCACTTTGTCTAACTCCTCTGAGATACGGACAGGGGCCGTGCTCCAGTCGGCCACTAAAGCTGGAGGCTGGGATATGCTCGGGTAGGGCAGAGGGGAGGTCAGGCAGCATGGCACAGCCCAGGGACCTGTGCCTGGTGCAGCCAGTGGGTTCTGGACCTCTGAGCTGGAATGCTGTCAACAACCTTTGGATGGAGGAGAATATTTCTGGCATTTCCCGTGAGGAAATGCCATGCGTCTGACCTCCAACATGGGGCTCCAGCCTTTCCTTTTTGGCTCATGATCAAGGGCAAGTGACAAAAGGGAAGAGAAGAAGAAGGAAAACAGCTCTCAGCCTTTGAAGCGTGTGAGTGAGGTTTGTCTGAAAGAAGACACATTGACTCCACACCGGGATGCATCCCCTACATGATGGTTTCAGCTCGCTTTCCCTCCTGCTCTAAATCTCACCTATGGACAGGATTACCTGCCTCTGACAAGAATACTCGTGCTAACCACAGGTGTAAAGAAGGAGATTTGGAGCTGCTGTTCTTCATCTTTCACATGATTTGTCAGAAGAAAACATCTTTCCAAACAACTTAACACATGTACTAAAGACAAGATACATGCACACACATTCACACCTGATTATTATGTGTGTATCTACGCATTGCTACAGATACAATTAACTGTAAATATGTACCCTGTTTAGTTATGCATTAAATATAGAAATGGTATATAGAAGAAAGACATTCTCAGCTAACACTGATTGTGACTAAGAACAAATGAATCGGAAGCCATGAATAAGAAACAGGACAAAAAAAAAAAATGCTCAGAAGTCACATTTGCAAATATTACCTGGAATATATAAATGAATTTTTGCTTCGGGCACGTTTGCATCCCTCTTGTGTTTGAGCCAGGGAGAACAGACACTCCAGCTCTCCCCTTCCCACTGACTTTAATGAGAGTGAT